GAAATGGCACTGTAGGATAAACACTAGACTGCGAGGTTGGTTTGAATTACAAGGTCAGCGGTTCAAACTCACTGTTGTACTAGCTGCTCTGAAACTCTATAGAGACGCTATGAGTCAGAATCACCTCAAAGGCACTTAACAACAAAAACTGATTTTATTAGAACAGGACCCTTTGCTGCCATCTGCTGGAGACACGTAGGAAATACTATCTCTGGGCCTGCCACTTGTGCAGGGTAACCCATGAGCTCAACATTCCTTTCTAGCCTGCAGGATTCTGGAGTGAACTCACCCCTCATCCTCAGCCCCAGCCTGAATATATACTTCTGAACTCTTTGAAGGCAGACAAGGATGCTGGGAGCTTCATCTCTGCGTACCCATGAAGACGCCAATGACTCACCCCCAACGATTGATCCATAAATGCACAGGCGTTGAAAACACTGACTGGGGAGCAGGGACCAAGATGAAAACTCAGCCCTGGCTCTAAAGTGCTGTGTGTCCATGGGGAATCCCTGCCCCTCTCTGGGCATTTTCCTTCTGTAAAATGAGATAGCTTAGCATGGCCGTCTCCAGGGGCCCAGAGCTCTGAGCTCATGACCCCCCCCCATGCAATTTTGATAAGGGCTACAAGGTCATCATTAAGAAGACTAAAAAGAAAAGGTCAAAATGGATGTCAGAAGAAACACTGAAACTTGCTCTCCAATGTAGGATGCCAAAGCCAATGGAAGAAATGAGGAGGTACAAAAACTGAACAGAAAATTTCAAAGATCAGCTCGAGAAGATAAAGCCAAATATTACAACAAAATGTGCAAAGATCTGGAGTCAGAAAATCAAAAAGGAAGAACATGCTCAACATTTCTCAAGCTGGGGGAACTGAAGAAAAAATGCATGCCTCGACTTTCGTTATTGAAAGATTCTCTGGGCAAATTATTGAATGATGCAGAAAGCATCAAAAGAAGATGGAAGGAATACACAGAGTCACTGCCCAAAGGAAATGGCTGATGTTCAACCATTTCAAGAGGTAGCATATGATCAAGAGCCAATGATACTGAAGGAAGAAGTCCAAAATGCATTGAAGGAATTGGCAAAGAACAAGGTACCAGGAATTGATAGAATAAAAATAGATATCTTTCAAGGAAGTGAGGCGGCACAGGAGGCACTCACTCATCTATGCCAAGAAATTTGGAAGACAACTATCTGGCCAACTGGAAGAGATCCGTATTTGTGCCCATTCCAAAGAGGTGACCCAACGGAATACAGAAATCATTGGACAATCTCTTTGATATCCCATGCGAGTAAAGTTTTACTAAAGGTAATACAGAAACAGCTGCAAGCATACATTGACAAAAGAACTTCCAGAGGTTCAAGCCGGATTCAGAAGAAGCTGTGGAACAAGGGATATCATTGCTGATGTCCAATGGATCTTGCCTGAAAGAAGAAAATATCATAAAGATGTTTACCTGTACTTTATTGGCTACACAAAGGCTTTTGATTGTGTGGATCATGACAAGCTATGGACAACATTGCTAAGGTATGAGTATTCAGGAATACTTAATTCTGCTCATGAGGAATCTGTACATGGACCAAGAGGCAGTTGTTTGAACAGAACATGGGAACACTGGATGGTTTAAAATTAAGAAAGGTGTACAACAGGGTTGTATTCTTTCACCATACTTATTCAATTTGTATGCTGAGCAAATAATCCAAGAAGCTGGATTATATCAAGAAAAATGTGGCATCAGGATTGGAGGAAGACTCATTAACAACCTGCGATATGTAGACGATACAACCTTGCTTGCTGAAAGTGAAGAGGACTTAAAATATTTACTGATGAAGATCAAATACCACAGCCTTCGGTATGGATTGCATCTCAATGTAAAAAAAAAATCCTCACCACTGGACCAATAAACAACATTCTTATCAAAGGAGAAAAGAGTGAAGTTGTCAAGGACTTCATTCTTCTTGGATCAACTCATGGAAGCAGCAGTTAAGAAACCAAACGGTGTATTGCATTAGGCAAATCTGCTGCACAAGAACTTTTTAAAAAAGTGTTGAAGAGCAAAGATGTCAGCATGAGGACTACAGTGCACCTGACCCAAGCCATGGTATTTTCAATAACCTCATATGCATGTGAAAGTTGGACAGTAAATAAGGAAGACCGTAGAATTGATGCTTTTGAGTTATGGTGTTGGAGAATATTGAAAGTGGCATGGGATGCCCATAGAACCAACAGATCTGTGTTGGAAGAAGTGCAGCCAGAGTGCTCCTTGGAGGCCAAGAAGGCCAAACTTTCTCTCTCATACTTTGGACATATTGTCAGGAGGGACCAGTCGCTGGAGAAGGATAGCATGTTTGGTAAGGTGGAGGGTCAGTGAAAAAGAGGAAGACCCCCAGTGAGATGGATCGGCCAAGTGGCAGCATCGATGGACTCAAGTGTGGCAACAATAGTGAGGTTGGCCCGGAATTTAGCAGTGTTTCGTTCTCCTGTGCATTCGGTCACTGTGAGTCAGCACCGACTCAATGGCACCTAACAACAACAAGGTCGTTCAGATTGCTGATAGAAAGATGGCCAAGAACAAGGCAGAGTACAACCTGCATCTTTTTATTAGACTAGGAAATATAATTTATTTAATAAAAATTAATTTTGTTACAATAGGAATGCTAACCATTATTTACAGGTTGTAGTTTACAGAATAAACAGAGGTGGGACTGGGGGTCATCTCTGCAGCCCTGTACCCCCCGGACATATAAGCATGTCCATGACCCAGACAGGGGTCCAGCCCTTTGCCCCCAGGAGGGCTGGTCACCTCCCCTCAAGGGCCTGCTAAGGGTCCCTGCTCAGCTGCCAGAGGGCCTGGAACATCCAGGAGATGGGAAGGGTCCCCCACATCCTTAGGGGGACTCCTGCCCCCAGCTCTGGAGCCTGGGGCACCTCGAGAGGGGTCGGCAGAGGGATAGGCACGTAGAAGATACACTGACTGACCCTGTGGACCCAGAGGGCAGGACACAGGCACACCAACCTTCAGGCGCCCAAACCTGGGACACAGCAGAGGGCACACACCCCACACAGGTGGGGACACGCATACATTCCCAAGGTGCACCCCAGTGTACCCAAAGACAAGCATACACACACACACACACACACACACGAAGCATGCACACAAAGGCAAATGCAAACACACTTCAGAGATGAAAGACGTAAACACGTGGGTCATGCAGCCCCAAGTTGTTCTCAAGGCCCAGTTACACCCAAGGGGCTGCTCTTCAAGTCTGAGTAAGAGGAGAAACTTAATCCCAACACTGGGGCAGCCAGCGGTAGAGCTGGAAACCCCTTTCTGGGCTTTTTGTATAAAGCTGGACTGTCTGAACCCTCCCAGGAGGTAGCAGCCGATTGGTTCTGTGCTGCAGGCCTTGGTACACCTTCTGGAAATCGAGCCAGCCTGCCCTGCAGTGTTCTCAGCTGGATGGGGGTAGGGAGAGCAGGGATACGGCAGACCATGGTCAACTTTTTATTCAGATTCTTTTCAGAAGTCAAGAACCACAGTTGTCAGAAACCCAGAGGGGCTGAGACAGTAGCCACGAGGCCTCCTGGCACAGAGAAGGCAGTGACATGCCCAAGGCCACCAGTGGTTTCATTAATGGCAAAGCTGGACTCAGTCCCAGACTTGGGACTCTAAAACTGCACGTGGGCATCTTTAGAGGCAGGTGATGGGAATGGCACCAGTGAAGCCCCTCCCAGATGGTCCAATGCCACGCCCACTGAGACCTCCTATATCATCCTAAGGTGTCCGGAGTGCCCTAGCGGAGGCCGTGCTCACAGGGGAACTGGACAAAGGGCCTTGGGAGCCTCGTGCAGGCCTGGTCCCTCCAGCAACCCTCTCAAAACCCCTAGCAAGTTGTCCGTGACCAATCTGCCACTCCGGGGGCCGGTGAGAACCCTCATAAACTCACGAGTCCATGGCAGGGACGCTGGCTGGGAGTGTAGCTGCACACTGGCTCTTCTCTCAGAAGCAGACTTTCAAAGGCAGGATTTGCCCAGGCTGGTCCCCAAAGCTTCTCAGGGACCTGCTGGGACAAGTCCTGGGGTCAGTCCCCGAGGTACTAGGGAGCTGGCGCTCAACAGACTCTGTAGCCAAAGAGAAGCCTTTAATGAGACCTGAAAAGGGACTGTGGCTCACCCATCAACCCTCCCACACTTTGGATCTTGCTAGCCTCTTAGAAGATTCTGGAACAGGCTGGTCAGGGTGCCAGTCCTTCCACTCTGGCAGCCTAGCCCCATTCCGAGCCAGACTGCAGCGGGAGGGTGAGCGGAGGATTGAAGGGAGTTGCCTGTGGATATCAGAGCAGGGAAACTAGCTCTCTGCCATTCCTCCTCCACTCCGGGGTTGTACAAGCAGCCAGCTCACTCACTCCTCCCTTCTGTTTTACTGAAAAAAAAAAAAAAAATGGAGGCCCCAGTTTGTGTGGGGGAGCAGATTCTGGATTTCTGAGCACAGCAGTGTCAATCCACCTGGTCTCAAGGCTGCTGGGTGGGGAGTCCCATGGACACCCTAGAGAGAAGGATCCATGAAGATCCTCCCCATTTCTAATCTCTGCTCCAGCCCCACATCTGGGCCACACTCCTTCTTTAGGGGCCATCCACAGCTGGATGCTCACTGGCCCACCCACATCTTCCATGTCAGGGCTTACGAATCTGTAATCCCTAGGGGCCCTGAGAAGCTTCAGGAGGGAAGACCCTCACACCCCAGATTCAGTCTGATTAGGATTTTAAAGGGAAACCTCGTCCTACAGCAAAAGTTCAGTCTGAGCTGTGCCTTGTGCAACTGGGGAAATGGCGACATGGTCTTAAGTCACTGGAAGATGAACTCATTAGTAGCAATGTGTCCCTAATCAGTCTTTCTCTCCCTCACACACACACACACACACACACACACACACTTGGCCAAAACCATATACATGCCCACTCTCGTCCACTCAAGGAATGAGTTTTCTATTTTTTTGTGTGTGTTCTTTTTCATTTTCTTTTTTTTTCTTTTTTTTCTTTTTCTTAAAAAGGACTTATCCAAATATCTGGATAATAAATCATTTGCGTTTCCTAAGAAACTGGGTTTTTCTTTTTCCCTTGTGGTTTTGATGTTTTTCTTCTTTGAGCTTTACTAACGGTCTGAAGCGGTCTTTCTTTCTTTCTTTCCTTTTTGTTCTTTTGGACAGGAGAAAGCAGTTTGTCTGAAGTGTACAAGTCTTCAAAGTGGAGAATGGTGTGAAAGGAGAAGGGGGCTGAGGGAGGAGGGAGAAATTAAGAACTGAGGAAGAAAATGAGGAGTGAAGGAAAACAAACTATGACCAGAGTTTGGGCAGAGGGTGGGGAGTTAAGAGGAGAGTGGCCTTCCCCTCCTCCCTGCCAGAGGCCTCCGTCCCATTCCCACCTCTAGAAGGGGGACTGAGGCTACAGAGAGAGGGCAGGGGCCACAAGGAACCTTGGTCCCCAGACGGCAGAGTACATGGAGTTTCTAAGGCTGGTCGTGGTCGCGGGCTGGGCAAAGGAGGAGGAGAGAAAGCCGCTCCGGCTGTGAGCTGGGCACCAGAGGCTGTATGTCCCACTGAGAGGCTGACCTGGCCTCCCAGTGCCTGCCTCCTGCTGGCCCTGCCAGCTGCATCCCGGGGCGGCTCAGCAGTCCCCATCGGTGGCCATGGCCACCAGCATCTCGCTCTTGCCCATCTCCTCCAAGGCACTCGCCAGGCTATTAAGGTCCCCATCGTCCTGCTGCAGAGCCTCCCAGAGGTCCAGGATCACGCCCGTGGGGCTCACTTTGGTGGCAAAGTAGTTCAGGTACCTGGTGGAAGGAGAAAGACATTGAGTCCTGGAACACTCCGCACCTCCGGGAGCTGGAGGTGGCGGGGGCACTGGAAGGTGGGAAGACTTTGTGGGTACTGGGGTTCAATGCCAGCTTCGTTGCTTCCAGACTGTGTGACCCTGGGCAAAGCACTGTCCCTCTCTGACCTTCAGTCTACTCATCTCTAGGATGGAATATGTCAACATCATTCTCGAGGACCCTGAGACCAGAAGAACTAGATGGTGGCTCTCATGCTGCCAACAGGGTCCAAGATGAAACAAAGCTAGAATCTGGCGCGGTCTTGTCCATCATCGGCACTGGGAGAGAATGCTCAAGCCTAATCCTCCCCATTCTTTTCTTTTTCTCCCACTTTCATTTCTCTGCCTAGTCTTGCCCCTTAGCCCCTGATGCAGGAATAAGGCTTCTGACAGCTTTGTAAACCCCATTTTGTACATGGTATCTGCTCAAGACAGGATTATTAAGCAAATTTTCAAAAAGTATAACACAGTCTCTGGGCAATGCAAATAGCTAACACACTTGACTGCTAACCAAAGATTGGCAGTTTGAGTTCACCCAGAGGCACCTTGAAAGATATGTCTGATGATCAATTTTTGAAAAATCAGCCATAGAAAACCTTATGGAGATACACTGTCCACAAAGCCATTGTTCTACATCCTACTGTGGTGAGTAGCAACTAGCATCTTCAAAGCTCAGGGATGGCCAGCCATCTAAAGTGCAGCTATCAGCCTCTCCCTGTCCAGAGGGAAGAAGACTGATGAGAACTGAAGATGCTTGGGATCACTTAGTCCACTATACTAATGGAACACGTGCACATCAGTCTCCATAACTCTGAGACCAGAAGACACTAGATGGTGCCCGGCTACCACTGCTCACTGCTCTCAAAGGGATCACACTGCAAGGTCTCAGATAGAGCGGGAGAAAATATGGAATAAAACTCAAAGTTATCAAAAAGGCTTACTGGGAATCATTGTTATCAGGACTCCTTGTGAGAGTTGGAAATGTAGAGGTAGACGTTTTGTAGCAAGGAGGGGAGTGATTAACTTTTTCGTCTAGGCGCGGAGGTCCCTGGGAACATCAAGGGAGAAGAGCAGAGAGCGGGTCCCTACCCAGAGAAGCAGTGATGCCAGAGATGGAGGCAGAGACGATGACGTGGAGAGATGGAGCAGCTGGAGACTTTAGACACAGAAAGGGAGAGGGGATATGTGCTGACGACCGAGGGGCAGGCTTGTAGTGTATACCCTTTGGTTGGTTGATGATGAAACAATATATGATAGGATGAATGTAAAATTTATGTTCTCCCATGTAAACTATCACATAATTCACTATAAAACATTATTAAAAAAAAAAAAAAAAAAAAAGCCTTACTGGTTAGAGAGACTGGAGCAACCAGACTATGGCCCTTGGTCTCACCCTTGAGGTCTGAAATGGAACTCACCCCGTGGCTCAATTTTCAGCCATGTGATAGATAGGTAGACAGCAGGGATAACAACACTAGTAAGGTATGCTCACCATGGAATGGTCAACCATTCAAGATCAAAAGGGCAACATTTACCTAAGGTCAAAGTTCAGAAGGGATAGGAAAGAAGGTGGAATGGAAACCAGAATCACAGGGAGGAAGTGGGCTAAGTGAGAGGCTGCAATCATGGAAATGAAGCCAAGTGTACGATTTGTTGTTGATTATAAACGAACAATCTGCTCGCTAAACCTTCCACTCAATTCACAATAAAAAGGCAGCCGAACAATCCATGGTGCACAGTTCCACTCTGACACACAGGGGCCGTCACTTGAGGAGCTCTTGCTACATTTTGGGCACTGGCTGGTGTTGGCTGCAGGTGAAGAGTCACCCACAGTCAGTATATGGCTTGGCCTGGCTCTTAGACTATGTGGGCAGGTGAAGCATTGCTGTTAAGTGCCTTCGAGTTGGTTCTGACTCAGTGAGCCTGTCCAGAGTTTCCAAGGAGCAGTTGATGGGTTTGAAGTAATGGCCTTGCTGTTAGTAGTCCAGTGCTTATCCTACAGTCCAACTAGGACACCAGGTGAAGCATGACTTCCGGGTGATGGGGTCAAGGCAAGGCCTTGGGAGTCTGGTGGCTTCTCAAAGTCTGCCTAGCCAAGGGTCGCTGTGGTGAAAAAAGCCCCTTTATGTGACCTTTCCTACCACTCATCTGTCACAGTTTGTCATACTGTGGTGGCTTGTATATTGTGATGCTGGAAGCTATGCCATGGGTATCTTAAATACCAGCAAGGTACATCCATGATGGACAGTTTTCAGTTGAATTTCCAACCTAAGCCACACTAGGAAGAAGAAGAGGTGGGTTACTTCTGAATGTGTAGCCACTGAAAATGTTAGGAATAGCAGTGGAACACTGTCAGATAGCACCAGAATACTGACTATTGAACCATGATGAAGAGCGTCATAATGTTGTCAGATATAGTGTCAGAAGATGAATACCTCAGTTGGGAGGCACTCAGAATACAACTGTGGGAAAGAGCTGCCTCCTCAGAGTAGAGGTGACCATGATAATGTACAACTCAAAATGCGGCAAAACAGCTGTAAACAGCCATTAACAACTGTAACATGGAATGTAACAAATTCGATTATATGAAAATCAGAAGTTGTCACAAATGAAATGGAATGCATAAAGATTGATATCCTAGGCGTTAGAGAGCTGAAATGGATTGGTCATTTAAAATTTGACAATCCTATGGTTTACACTATGCTGGGAATGGCAAACAGAAGAGGAATGGTGGTATGGTGAACTCATCATCAAAAAGAACATTTCAAGAGCTATCTTGAAGTACAATACTATCTGTGATAGGATACTATCCATATGCTTATTAGGAAATTCAGTTAATGTCATTGTTATTCAGATTTATGCACCAACACCTAAAGTCAGTGATGATGAAACTGAAGAATTCTACCAACTTCTTCAGTCTGAAATTGATCCAACACGCAGTCAAGATGTATTGATAATTACTGTTGATTGGAATGCAAAGATTAGAAACAAAGAGGAAGGACCAGTCATTAGACAATATGGCCTTGGTACAGAAATGATGCTGCAGAGTACATGATAGAATTTTTCAAAACCAATGACTCATTTATTTTTTTTCAACAACATAAAAGATGACTATACACAAGGACCTCACCTGATGGAATACACAGAAATCAAACTGATTCCATCTGTGGGAAGAGACGGTGGAAAAGCTCCATATCATCAGCCAAAACCAGAGAACAGACCATCAATTTGCTCATATGCAAGTTCAGGCTGAGGCTGAAGAAAATTCAAATAAGTCCAATAGATCCAAAATTTGGCCTCGAACATAGTTCACCTGAATTTAGAGATCATCTCAAGAATAGATTTGATGCATTAGACACTAATGACTGAAGACCAGAACAATTGTGGGATGACATCAAGAACATCATATGGGGAAGAAAGCGAAACGTCATTAAGAAGACAAGAAAGAAGGAAAAGACCAAAATGAATGACAGACGAGATTCTGAAACTTGTTCTCCAGCTTAGAAATGCTCAAGTAAATGGAAGGAACGAGGACGTAAAAGAGGTAAACAGAAAAAATGAAATGTGCAAAGACCTGGAGTTAGAAAACCCAAAGGGAAGAACATGCTCAACATTTCTCAAGCTGAAAGTACTGAAGAAAAACTTCAAGCCACAACTTTGCATTATTAAGAAGTCTATGGGCAAAATATTGAATGATGCAGAAAGCATCAAAAGAAGATGGAAAGAATACACTGTCATTGTACCAAAAAGAAATGGCTGATGAT